TTGTGGATCCTTTTGGTTGAGTCTCTGATGCCTTTTCTCCCAACGACGGGAAGAAAAGTGCAGGAAAAGGTCACATGCCCAAGTATATTTAAGGCCAGTGTGTTCAGCATCAGGGGCTCTCCACCACAGAGGCAGCCCATGCCTAGTTCTTCTGTGCGCATGTCAAGAGGCAAGACTCTTCACGAGATACCTACCTGAAGACTATCGCGGAGTATCCTGATCCAGCTCCAGTCCATGTCCCTCCTGTCATCCCATCTAAGGCAGTTACAGGTCTGGAATCCAGCAACTGCCGCAGTAGTCTGCAGTCACGAAAAGCTGTCTGCCTTTCCCTCTGAGTTGCCAGTGAAAGTGATCTCCTTCAAGTAAAGGAGTTCCTATAGCTTGCTAAGGGTAGAAGAGAGCCGGGCTTTATGCCCTTTTGGGTCAAACCTCTGAGCTATTATTCTGTTGCCTTTGTTAATTTGTTTAATTTTAGTAAATCTATCTTTACACTGGGTTGTTTTTACTTACCACATGGGTTTTAAAAAGTGACAGAGATATTTATCTGGGTCCGCACCTTTTCTTATCTGTTAAGAGTTTTGAGGTAACAAGGGTAAAGAGAGACAGATGGATAGTTGAGGGAGGAGTTAGTGAAGGATATAAAGGGGAAAGAGCTGGGTAACAGTCTAGGTTCTGATAGGGTGGAAATCCATAGACATGGATTTGGTGTCTTCACAGGTAGCTAGTGGCCTATTTTGGAAGTCCTCTTCCATAGAACCTACAACTCCAACTGCAAAAAGATTGCCGTGTGTTGCAGCCAGGCTTAATAGAGCCTTTTTATTTGTGCAGAGAATGAGGGAGTTGTGTTTTTATTAATCAGGTGCACCTCAGTTTCCCTGTTTGAACATAATGGCCATACTGAGTCAGACTGATAGTCCATCTAGCCCAGTACCCTGTCTTCTAACAGTGTCCAGTGCCAAATGCTTCAGAGGAAATGAACACAACAGGACAGTTTATCAAGTGATCGATCCCCTGTCACCTAATCACATCTAGCAATCAGAGGTTTAGGGACACCAAGAACACCAGGGTTGTGTCCCTGACAGTCTTGGCTAATAGTCATTGATGGACCTATCTCCATGAACTTATCTAATTCTTTTTAAACCCAGTTATACTTTTGCCCTTCACAATATCTCTGCAATGAGTTCCACAGGTTGACCATGTGTTGTGTGAAGAACTTCCTGATATTTGTTTTAAACCTCCTGCCTATTAACTGTTTTGGATGATTCTCATGTTATGCAAAAGAGGAAACAACATTTACTTTCTTCACCCCACTCATGATTTTATAGATTTCTATTATATCCCCTTACTCATCTCTTTTCTAAGATGAACAGTCCCACTCTTTTTAATCTCTCCTCATAGGGAAGCTATTCTAATCTTTTTTTATTGCCCTTCTTTGTACTTTTTCCAATACCGATGTATCCTTTTTGACATGGAGCAGCCAGAACTGCACCCAGTATTCAATGTGTGGGTGTACCATAGATTTATATAGAGCAAGGGTGGGCAAAATAGGGCCAGTGGGTCAGATCCGGGCCATCTAACATTTTTGTCTGGCCCTCTTGGCTCTCGGGTTGCCCCCTTGTGATCTCCAGGCTGCTTAAAGTCCCATGGCACAGCGAGGCACTCAAGTAGGCTGCTTGCTTGCTGTGGCCCCACGCCGCTGCCAGAAGCGGCCAGCTGCTGGTGGCATGTCCCTGTGTGCCCCTGGTGGGGGTGGGGGCAGTTCTGCACGCTGCCCCCAACACCGTCCTCTCAGTTCCCATTGGCCAGAAACTGAGCCAATGGGAGTTGCAGGGGTGGTACTCACGGGTGTGGGCAGTGCATGGAGACCCGCTGCTCCCCTCCCCACAAGGGGTGTGCAGAGATGTGCCACGGTGCCAGCAGCTGGCCACTTCCAGGAGTGGCATGGGGCCACAGCATGCAGACAGCCTGCCTGAGCGCCCCGCCGTGCTGCTAGCCTGTAGCCACCTGTGGTAAGCGCCTCCCGGCCAAATCCCTGCACCTCCTACCCCTGCCCCAGGTCAGAACCCCCTCCTGTACCCAAACTCTCTCCCAGACCCTGCACCCCAATCCCTGCCCCAGCCTGAAGCCCCCCTCCTGCACCAATCTACCCCCCCAGACCTCACACCCCCTCCTTTAATATAATAGAAATGTGTGGCCCCTGATGACTTACCAAAATTCGTGGAGTGCCTCCCCTGCGAAAATTATTGCCCACCCCGATATAGAGGCATTATGATATTTTCTGTCTCATTAGCATTGTACAGATGTTTTCAGAGTACTATCCACAGCAACTTCAAGAGCTTTCTTGAGCAGTAACAGCTAATTTAGACCCATGATTTTGTATTGATAATTAGGATTATGTTTTCTAATGTTCATTACTTTACATTTATCAACAATGAATTTTGTCTGCCATTTTGTTCCCCAGTTGTGAGATCCCTTTGTAACTCTTTGCAGTCAGCTTTGGTCTTAACTATCTTGAGTGATTTTGAATCATCTGAAGACTCTGCCTCCTCGTTTACTCCTTTTTCCAGCTCATCGATGAATATGTTGGAACAGCACTGTACAGTACAGATCCTTGAGGGCCCTGCTATTCATCTCTCACTGTGAAACCTGGCCATTTATTCCTATCCTGTGTTTCCTATCTTAACCAGTTACTAATTTATGAGAGGATCTTCTCTTATCCCATGTCTGCCTACTTTGCTTAAGAACCTTTGGTTTGGGTCCTCATTAAAGGCTTTCTGAAAGTCCAAGTGTACTACATTCAATGGATCACACTTGTCCACATGCCTATTAGACCCCCCCAAAGAATTCTAATAGATTAGTGGGGCATGATGTCCCTTTACAAAACCCATACTGACTTGCCTCAACATCTCATGTTCATCTATGTCTCTGATTACTCTGTTCTTATAACTTCAACCAGTTTGCCTGGTACAGAAGTTAGGATTACTGGCCTATAATTGTCAAGATCACCTCTGAAGCCCTTTTTAAAAATAGGCATTACATTAGCTATCCTCCAGTCATATGGTACAGAGGCTGATTTAAGCTATCCTCCAGTCATATGCTACAGAGGCTGATAGGTTACATACAAGTTAGTAGGTCTTCAATTTGATGTTGAAGTTCCTGCTGAACTCTTGCATAAATACAGTCTGGTGACTTATTACTCTTTAATAGATCAGTTTGTTCCAATACCTCATCTACTGCAACCTCAGTCTGTGACAGTTCCTCAGATTTGTCACCTAATAAGAATGGTTTAGGTGTGGGAATCTCCCTCATATTCAGGGCAGTGTAGACCAATACAAAGAATTCATTTAGCTTCTCCACAAAAGCCTATGTCTTCCTTAAGTGCTCCTTTAGCACCTCAATCGTCCAGTGGCCCCAAGGATTGTTAGGCAGGTTTCCTGATTCTGATGTACTTTAAAAAAAAAAAATAATTTTTGTGTGTCTCACTAATTGCTATTAAAGTTCTTTTTTGGCCTGCCTAATTATAGTTTTCCACTTGACTTGTCAGAGTTTATGCTCCTTTCTATTTTCCTTAGTACAATTTGAGTTTTTAAAGTATTTTTTGTCTCTAATTGCCTCTTTTTCTCTGTTGTTTAGCCTTAGTGGTGGTTTTTTGGTTCTCTGACCTGTTTTATTATTATTTGGGGTATACATATAGGTTGAGCCTCTATGATGATGATTTAAAAATTTTCCATGACGCTTGAAGGCATTTCACTCTTGTGACTGTTTCTTTTGTTTAACTAGCTGCTTCATTTTTGTGTAGTTCCCCTTTTTGAAGTTAAAGGCTACTGTACTGGGTTTTCTTTGGTATTTCTCTCCCTGTACAAGGATGTTAAACTTAATTACATTATGATCACTGTTCCTGAGTAGTTCAGCTATATTCACCTCTGAGACCAAATCCTGTGCTCCACTTAGGACTAAATCAAGAATTACCTCTCCCTTGTGGGTTCCAAGACTAGATTGTCCAAAGTAGTCCTTAATGCTGTCTAGAAATTTTGTCTCTGCATCCTGTCCTGAGGGGACATGTCAATATGAGGATAGTAGAAATCCCCATTATTGGAGTTTCTGTTTCCCCAGAGCTGAATCTAGGGTCAGACACTATTGTAATCTAAAATAGTGACCTGTGGTTGAATGGATTGTTGGCAACTGCCCTAGGAAGCCCAACACACAGGAGAGAGTGAATACAAGAGAGCAATATGTTTTTCCTAGCCCAGAGATGAAGCTGAAGGATACTTAAAGCTTGCCAGAAAGAATTAGGTAAGGGGAAATGTGTGTATATGTCTTTGTTTTAACCCTGGTCTGATAGTTATGTATTTTTGAGTGAATGAATGCTTTAAGAAGATATTAAAATCACTAATCAGCTGCTGGTCATAGGAGGAAAAGGTCTTACAGATGCCAGATACAGGCACCCAGAGATACTGAATGGCACGACTTTCACTTCTTTCCTCTCCCACGAGGTGAAGGAAGCTATACCGGTCATCTGAGGGGTGCACTTCAGAGGGACAAAGGAAGTCTAAAGTATAGTGTGCCCTGTAGCTGTGCCAATTTGACTTCACTAAAATAGGCTAGTGGCTACCCTCACTTATCAAAGCCACTTGAACATAGTCTGTCCTGCCACATGTGTCAGCAACACTTTGGCTTCCCCTCATATTTCAGGTTTCAGAGTAACAGCCGTGTTAGTGTGTATTCGCAAAAAGAAAAGGAGTACTTGTGGCACCTTAGAGACTAACCAATTTATTTGAGCATGAGCTTATATTTCAAAGCACTACAGCTTGGCTTCATCCACCACAAAAGGAATCCATGCAGCCTTCTTGTAGATAAAGCTCTTCTATTTGGATCAGTACAGCTTACCTCTACCTGAAAGCAAGGTAAGGTGTTGTGACCCTAAGAGCACCCCAGGGCCAGATGGCACATGCGGAGGTAGAGAAGCTGACAGTTCTAGGTATCCTGAACAGCATGCCATAGGTCTATGCTCAGGGTTTGTGCTGTAGTACTGGTGTATTCACAAATATTTGTCCTGACTTTAGTTTAGCCATGTGCTCCATAACTGAAAGGGAGGGTAAGGTTTCCCCCTTCAAAAAGTTATTTCATGATGTTCCATTTTCTATTGCCAAATTTCACCATGGGCTCTTTTTGAAACAGGTTTCATGGCGCACGGGAGTTGATAAGTATCTTAAACCTTAAAGGCCACTTAGTGCTGCTGCTCTTCAACAAAGGTATGGTACATCAATAGTGATATTACAGAATAGTAAGCTATCTAAGTATTCAAAGGAAGGTACTGCTCTTCTAGAGTTTTGGGTTTGTTCTAGTGTGGAGCAAAACCAAATTCCTAAGTTCTCTGAAAGGCAACAGAGCCCCTATTTTAAGGGTCCCTTGCTCCGTGTTTTTAGGCTCTCTCAGTACACCTGGTGGACCTGCAGGGGAGCTATGGAGTTTTGTGCTACAGCAGCCCACTAGGCAAAGTGGGTGGAAGCCCAGGCTCCCCTGCAGCCTGCCAGGTAGAGTTCAGGGCAGCTTTGAAGCGTCTCTGAAATATTTAGCTTACAAATTCAGTATTCTGACCTGTAAGAATTTCTGACCACCAGCACCTGTAGGTATCTTATGACACTGGCCCACACTTTACAGGTGTTTCTTGCACATCATTGTGAGAGTGCACTTGATTTCCTAGTGATCCTGAAAAACTGACAGGGAATGCTGCTAATTAGAAGACAACATGGCATATACTCTACCACCCACTTACCATCAATTGTTAATGCATTAGAAGTTCAAGCAAGATTAAAAGTCAGGCATGAAAATCTCTTCAGGAAAATGCATGTCTGATTCTAGAATGCTCTCTTTCAAAAACAAGTAAGTTATATATAATCATGTTGAAGTGACTAGTCACATTTAATAAAATACAAATCAATTTATTATAAAGAGGCAGTTCATCTCTATCCCATGACAAACTGGGAACCTGCTACAAGTTGTAAAAACTTTCTCCAGCTAACAAATGAGACTCCAACATGATGCAGTAGATGGATGACAAGTAGTTCCTGAAGTTCTGCTAGGTGCCATCTTCCTTTAAAATCCTAGTGAATCTACAAGATCATCATCAGTCCATTCTTCCTAAAATGATTGGGAAGAAAGAATCATGGTGAATATCTTTATTACAAGCATACACAGTACAGTAAAAGCTGTGTTATCTAGCACTTTACCAACTGGAAAGCTCTATAAACCAGTATTTCTGATCACTGAAAGTCCAATTTATAGGCCAGTTGGCACAGGGCCAGCAGGCTCCATACCTGGCTTCATGTGTCTCCCCGGAAGTGGCAACATGTTCCTAGGTGGAGGAATAGCCATGACAGGTTCAGGGCACTGGCTCCGAGAGGCAGTTTGGGTGCAGGAGGGCATGCAGCGTGCTGGATCTGGGCAGCATTCACCTTGGGCAGCTCCTGGTGAGATGTCCCTGCTGCTCCTAGGCAGATGCATGGCTAAGCTGCTTTGTGCCTGCCTCCACCCACAGGCATTGCCCCCACAGCTCCCAGTGGCTGAGGTTCCCAGACAATGGGAGCTGCGGAGCCAGCTCTGTCTAGGAGCAGCGGGGACATCTCACCACCAAGATCCAGCACCACAATCCCCTGCCCTGAGCCCCCCCCCCCCCCCCCCTGCACCCAAACTCCCTCCCTCTTAATCGGAATTTTTTTTACTTCCTGGCACCTCCCATTCCCCCCAACATGCCAGATACCAAAGCTTTTACTGTAAACACTCTACTATAAAGACACCAAATACTACAGGAGTAGTTGTGTGATACCTCTTAAAGAATATGGAGTAGTAATTTAATGTCTAAATATAAATAAAGCAATGACTAGATGGCCTAGTTAACTGTTACATCATAAAAACTAAGTGGAAATGTACTTTTAACACAAAGGGGTTTAAAAAAAACAGTAATTTATATCCTTTTAAGATACTGAACTATGCCCATAACCTCAGAAAAAAGGTTCAACTCAGTTGTCACTATGTAGAACTACACTGTCGAGACTACAGTTTTACACACCCAACAGAGGCTACTTTTGTTAGTATTCATATTCTGTACACCGCAGTGTGTGAACAATACTACAGCTAGAAGCATAGCAAAAGAAGAATGGATACTTACCCCACAGTAATTCTGTTTTTTTTGGTGTTGTCCACATGTGGTATGCATACTCCTGAGATCAGATTATTTTGGCCAACAGTGTCCACAGGGGCTGTGCCTGTACCCTGGATATCCTCTCTCTCACTAAGGACATAAAGGGCAGAGGACTCAACTTTCCCTCTCTTCCTTTGCCAATTCAGAATCCAACTTGACCAGGACTCCATCTAGGACTGTAGAATCAGGGAAGGAAGGCAGGCTGTAGAATCCTTGTGGACAACACCTTTAAGAATTACTGTAAATGTATGTAACCATTCTTTCTGTGAGTTATTGTCCACATGTATTCCACTTATAGTGACTAGCAAGCAGCAACCTCAGTCAGGAGGTGAGTGCTAGAAATCCTAATTAAATAACGATTGAAGGATGGCTCTGGTAAAACAGGCAACAGATATTGAGTCCTCAAGTAACACTGGGTGAAAGCATACACCCATCCCCTTGTAGCGGTTCTGCAAGTTTTGAAATTGTTATACTCTCTCAGAAAAGCTGCAGAAGATTCCTGAGCCCAGGTGGAACAGGGTCTAAATTGCATGGATGGATCTAATCTAGCTAACTCAGAGCATGATGCAATACAATTAAATGCCCATTTAGTCAGTCTTTTGGGTGGTTATTGCCTGACCTTTCACCCTATCTGTAAATGCTACAAGGAGCCCCTAAAGGTTTTGTTCTGTCAAGGTAATATGAAAAAGACCTCACTACTGTCAAGGATGTGCAGTTTAGCTTCTTTGTGGTTGGAGCAGTGTGGAAAAAAGTGGCAGATGAAGTATCGAATTTAAGTGAAATTGAGATTTTTGCTAAGGCCTGAGGATCAGCGTCTTTGTAGACCACCACATAGGATGGACTAGCCAGGTGAGCCAATATTATAGCTTCTAAAAAGGCTGTTTTCATAGACAGTATATGGCAAATTGCTAAGGGCTCAAAAGGAGCTCCTATTAACCCAGCTGAAATTATATTAAGGTGCTAGGAAGAAGGGAGAACTCACACTGGGGGTAAAAAACATGAATGTGGCCCCTGAGAAATCTAGATGCCTTAGTAATATCATAAGACATCACTGATCATCTAGTCTGACCTGATCTAGTAGGGGAATGGTGTAACCCTGAATAAGACGACAAGCAAGAGTACTGCTGAACATAGCTTTATGAAGCCGATAGACATCCGTGACTGCTTTAGGGATAGAAGCCCCAGTATCTTCTATTTTAGGAGACAGGTAGTGTTGGCCTGCCCAAGCTCATCCTCCATTGGGCTGCATAGTCTTTTCTGCTCTGCATCAATATATTCTAAACTTCAGCTGAACAGCTTGCTTCAGGGTAGTGAAGCCAGCATGCATGTTATCAGATGGAGGATGCAACCTCCATTCTGAGATCACATCAGGTGAAACAGGTAATGTTATGGGGGCTAAGATGATCGGTTTATGCACATACCAGAACTGCCTGGGCCAAACATGATTATTACTGTTCTGTTTGGACTCAGTGTTAGAGGGTGACTATCCACTGATTCCATTATCCCTAGAATCCATGAGGTAAGGAAAGCATCTGACAGGGAGTTTGGGCTCAAACCCCCTCCCACCCTTACACTGAACCAAATGTTTGGCATTTTTTTCTGATTTATAGTAAACAGGTCTACTGACTGATATCCACTACCTACAGAAGATATTCTGCAGAATAAAATTAGTCCATTCATGCTAGTATGCTAATCACTTGCTGAGGTGGTGGTCTGTTAGGTCAGATATTCTGCAAGCCTGGTTAGACAGAGAGCTACTGCTTTGATGATCAGTGCAACAGCTCTAGCCCTGACTAGCTTCTTGCTCTGAGTCTATTGACAAAACACTGATGCATGTCTATGATCACCTGGATTGTTAGTTTGTTACATAAGAAGAAATGCTGAACACAGATGAATAGCTATGAGCTCTAGAATACTTATGAAGGGGAGCCTCTCTGGGATTTCAGAAACCTTGGTTTTGTAGGTGCTCTAGGTGAGCTCCTCATCCTAACATGGAGGCATCTGTTGCCAACACCTTGCTAGGCAGAAGTGGAGAAAACAGTATTCCTTTGCATACCTGGAAAGGGTCCTTCCACCAACTTAACAATGGAGAGTTCTTCTCAGGGAACCTGCATCCTCATGCTTTGGCAATGTCTGTTGGGTAGATACATATTTCAAACAGGCTGGCAAGGAACATAAATGAAGTCTGGTATTCTGCAATAACAAGTGCAGGAAGCCACATGACCCAAGAGTCTGTGGCACATTCAAAGATGGCTGTAGGTGAGCCTACAAATGGTGGGTGAGGTCCACTATGGTCTGGATCCTCTCTCACAGTAAGCTCTTGCTGATCCTGTAATCTAACATAGGCCCTGTGCAATCTATTCTTTGGGTTGGCAACCATGATTAGACTTCATTGATCCTGAGTCCCAGTGAGATGAAAAGACAGGATTGTTCACCTGTTGCAGTGATCATCCTAGAATTAACTAGTCATCAGGGTAAGGCTATACCTGGATCCCTTGCTGCCTCAGGTGAGCTGCCATTACTCCCAAGCACTTAAATACACTTTGTGCTGCTGAGAGACCAAAGGACAGGACGCTACAGGTAGTGAGATGGTCCCACTTGGACTATGTGGCAAGTGAATTGATACATGAAAATCTACATCTTATAAGTCAAGAACTACAAACCAGTCTTGGATCTAATGAATGGATTAGAGAGGCATGGGGTTGCCATCCTGAATTTGAAACAGTGGATGAACTTGTGGAGGCAGCTCAAATCTAGAATTAATTAAATTAATTAATTAGATACTAGCCCTACTTCTTCAGGATAAGAAAAAAAGTGGGAGTAAGACATCTTCTTTCTGAACTCCAAGGACATTTCTTCCACTGCTCTGAGATTTAGAAGAGAGAGTACACTTCTTGCTTTAGCAGAATCTCATGAAGGGTCCCTGAAGAGGGATGCGAAAAAGTAGAGGGTTGGAAGGAACTGGAAAAATTGAATGGAACACCACCCCACACTTATCTCCAAGACCCAGCACTAGTATAATAGATTCCAGGGCTCAAAAACTGAAGGAAGGGTACTGATCCTCCGTATGGCAGTCAGCAAGTCAAACTTGAAGCCTTGAGGTTGTGCAGCAGATGAGGAGGCAGCAGAGGGTTTTCTGCATTTGAACCTCTGCTTCTTTCTCTGCAGCTACTATGACTTCTGTGGACGAACAACAACGTGTCTTTTGTCTGGAGTAGTATTGTGACCTAGCCTGCTTTCTCCTAAAGACTGGCATGTAAACTAAGGAATGGAGAGTGGTTCTTGAATCTTTCAAAGAGTGCAGGGCTTCATCAGTTCTTGCATTAAAGAGATGGTCACAACTTTCAAACAGGAGGTCCCCAATAGTCTGGACTTCCTTAAGGATTCCTAGAGTCTGTAACCATGAATCCCTGTTCATACCAATGGAAGAGGCCACTGAATGGCCTGCAGCGTCCAACACATATAATGGCACCTGCAACGACGTACAAACTACCAACTGCCCCTCAGATACAATGGACTTCACTTCATCCTTGTCTTGAGGGGGTTTTCCCAATAAATTACAACACTGCATCCCAATTATTCTGACAAAAGCACCTCGTAATTTACAACGCACAAGTACATACACGAGTAATTTTTCTTCTCAAATCCAATTTTTTTTCAAAAATGTCTCTTGAAGGTTATTTTTGGGGTCCCTGCTGCCTGGACCTTTCATGCACTGCGACCGCTACCGGCGATTCAGGAACTGGTGCATGTAAAGATATTAAAATCCATCTGAAAGAACTTGCTAGCACCTCTTTGCCTTTTTAGAAGTGGGTCATCCAGCATAGAGGCATTGCCCCAACAGACACTGCTGGCCAAAAAATAAATAAAATCTGTCTACGTGCCTGAGGCACATTCACACCAGTAGTGGAATACATGTGGACAATAACTCAAAGCACCACCTCCCTAGACCTGAAGGCTTGGTGGTTATCAGTATTCTAGAGTACATTATGATTTAAACAAAAAACAAAGTAAACCTGACCCACTGCAGTAGAAAAGCAGGTGATTTCTGAAATCATGACACAGATCTCTTATTTAAAGGTCTACCATCAGGTGCTAGTTACAGCATAGCAATAAGCTTAAATGGTTCAGAAAAAAGAATCAATGTGATTTCTCTCTGCTAGTAATTGCCTCTGTTTTCTTGAAGATGTGATTTTAAACTGAGGTACAGAGCAAGAGAGTGCTGTAGATTTATTTTTAGCAATTTGTCTCATCTTTTCTTCAAGAAAATTTCACATATGAAAAACAGACAAGACACCAAAGCTTCATTTTATCAAGAGCCTTTGTTCCATAAAACAAGTTTTGAACAAGTGTAACATTATGGAATGGCTCCTTTTCAAAAAGATACCAATTTTTGCAGTTTTTAGTGTAGGAATATTGTTAGAAAATTAAGGCCAAGATCATCAGGAGTGTGTAGCAATTTTGGAAGCCCCACTAGAGACAGCTTGCCTTAAAAGGGGTGGGTGCTCAGCAAGAGCCAAGCCCCTCTAAGGTGTCTTGCTAGGTCACTAAATATCATTCATTTCTGAAAATCATGGGCTAATTTCAGCTATTCTCAAATTAATACACAACCAGTGACCGCTCGAGTTTATGAAATATGGTAAGACCTTAGCTTCCATTATAAGTCAATAACTATATGAAACAGGGGCCAGGTCTACACTAAAAATTTAGGTAGACCCAGCTACAGCGCTCAGGAGTGTAAAAACACAAACGGACAAACAAAAATCTACGCCCCTTAAATCCACACAACTCCTGGCATAGAAAGCACTAGGTCAATGGAAGAATTTTTCAGGGAGGGGGATTAACTACAGCAATGGGAGAACCCTCTCCCATCACTGTAGCAAGTGTCTACATTTGAACTCCTACAGCAGTTCACGTGCAGACATCATCAGAGGGCCCTGTATTTTAGTTATAGGGCACAACCTTGCCTGTCAACATTACCCAACAGGCTGTAAATTCTCAACCATGACAGACTTCTTAAATTCCACTTAATCTAGCCAATTAAGCCTTTCTCTGCTGTGGAAGCAGAGTACACTCCACCTTCTGACCTTTAATCTTACAAGAATCCAGTAAGAGCAGTGATTTCCCCATCTGTTAGCATGCAGCAGCATTATCCAAAGCAGCCAACAGGGCTTACATCCTCCCAAGGTCTTACCCTGAATATATTCTAAGAAGCCACAACTCCCACTTGTAACAATTACCTCCATTCTGCTATTACTTCCCATATGGTAGTTCCTTAGCACTACCATAACAAACCGAAATCCCTACCTCACTCCAAATTTACAAAAAAAATTGCAAGATGAAGGTAGTACAAGCTAGCCTTTAATATGTCCTTGTTTTCCTTCTGCACTCCAAGCCACTAGAACTTCATACATTCAACACAATTTGCTACCCACTTTCTGGACTGAATTCCTGTTAGCTCCCATCTTGGGAAGAGGTAACAACTAGAAAATGTCAGCAACACTGACCAGAAAAAAAAAAGTATGGTATGGCTTCTAGGTGAAGTCAGTCCAGTTTGTCTGCTTCCCCACTGCTTCATTCTAATCTTCATAAGCTAGTTTCCAGATACCATCAAATCTGAAAATTAGCTGATTTCCTAAGAGCAAAAATACAGTACTTGGCTTGTCACAAATTACTGAACAGTGAAGCTGTATCCATCCTATTCAAACTATATATGAATAAAGTAGTTCTTCCTATTGCATTGTTCAGTTAAATTTATGAGACAGATATCCAAAGAACAGAATAAGCCACAAGTGTGAAGGAATAAAATTAAAATGTTACCAAACCAGAATTCTTGCCAGAGCTTGGTCTAACTCAGAGGTGGGCAAACTACGGCCCGCGGGCCACATCTGGCCCACAGGACCATCCTGCCCAGCCCCTGAGCTCCCAGCCAGAGAGGTTAGCCCCTGCCCCTCCCCTGCTGTCACCCCTACCCTGCAGCCACACCACTCCACAGGCAGCACGGCTTGCGCCCGCCCACCTCCCAGGCTTTCCAATAAGCCAGTCCTGCTGCTCTGAGTGGCATGGTAAAGGGGCAGGGGGAGAGGGGATAGGATAAGGGGCAGGAGGTCCCAGGGGGCAGTCAGGAGACAAGGGGAGTTGGACAGGGAGTAGGGTCCGGGGAGGGGGAGGGAAGGAGGGCGGTCAGGGGACAAGGAGCAGTTGGGGCTGGATGGGTCCACGGTTCCGAGGGGGGCAGTTGAGGTGGGAATGAGAGGGGGCAGACAGGTGGCGGGGACCAAGCTGTTTGGGGAGGCACAGCCTTCCCTACCCGGCCCTCCATACCATTTCGCAACCCCGATGTGGCCCAAGGGCCAAAAAGTTTGCCCACTCCTGGTCTAACTCCTCAGGGTACGGGCTAGCAAAAAACAAGGAGTAACATATTCCACTGAAGGGAGAGAGATGTTGAAGAGCAGTACATCAACTCTGTTTGGCCAACAAAGCCATGTCAAGCCCCTCTCAGACTGACTACCACTTTAACTTACGTCCCAGAGATTTGTCCTGGCCACAAACCCTTTCTATAAGTTGTGATGGAAATAAGCTAGAATGTATAAGAAATTAGGAGGCATGTTTTTACTGTTACTGTAAAACATCCAGACACTAAATAGCCATTTCTGAACTGCTTGGTTTGTGAAATGTTCACTACCTGAAAATTTCCAGAGCATGTTTTAACAGTATTAACAAACTACCATTCTTGTTAGTGATTAGAGAAAATATGAACAGTGCTTCTGCAACATGTCTACTAACCTCATCCATTTTAGATTTCTTTGTAATATAGTCATCATCTTCATAGCCCTTTCTCTTCTTTCTAGCTCCCCAAAGAAAAATACAAGATGTTTAAACATTTGAGAAAAAGTTCAACTCCAATACTAGCTTCTTTTTCTTCCTTATCCTTGGCATTTTTAAGTTGAATCTCTGTTTAACTGCATTTGTGTATTCAAGAAATATGTGAGAGTTTCACTAATGCTGGAAGTTTCTCGCCACTTCACTTTGCTACCTAAAAGCAAAGTATTAGATCTTACATGGAATAGTGTAGTTTTACAATCTGCACAAAAAGACTCAAGGCATATATTTTATACAAATTTGATTAAAAGGATCTCTAAGCCCTTGATAAACAGATTGTTAACTACACCCTATTACGCAAGTGTTAATAACCATTTTTTAGATAGGTTAAATGGCGCACAGAGGTAATTTGCTTCAGGTCCCATGATAAGTCAGTGGCCAGAGCAGAGAATGAACCCTGGAGTCCAAGCCCCTACTTTAGCCACTGTTAGTGATATTGTTTTTCACATTAAACATTTTATTTTACAAACAAGTACAATATTCAGTCTAATAAATTAAACCAATTTTCATCTGATTATACAGTGCAAGGAAAATTAAAGTTTTATAAAAGCTAACATATCACTGCAGAAAGTGACAGTTCCAACTGGCAGTGTATGAAAGCAGTAAAGTCAAAACTCCTTAATGCTCCAAATTTCTACTTACAAGTTTGCATTAAGAGCAAGTTCTGAGCTGTGACATTTCTCTAACTTCTGCTTTAGAGCGGCAACCTCCTCAGGCCGTGGTGGTTCATACTTCTTTATGAGATTTTTCATGCCTATAGAGGTAACACCACAACTTTTCAAAGTAATGAATTAGTTGCAATAAGTTAATTAACTTACAAGAATGTTGTGGGAATTATCTCAAGAGTCAGTGGCATAGCCAAGCTTAGAACTCAAGAGCCCCTGCCTCACAGCCCTGATTTAGTCCAATAGACTAGACCAGGGGGTTTCAAACACATGACCTGCGAAGTTATTTGCTGCATCTGCCAAGCTCCGCCCCAGAAGTTATTTCCTGGTTGCCAAGGTTACACACACCCCCGCCCAGCGCGCCACGTCCCCACTCCTCTGCCCACCTCCAGGCGCTTCCTGCTGCCAAACTGCTGTGTGGTAGCACTTTCCAGGAGGGAGGAGCGGGAGCTGTGTGCTCAGGGGAGGAGGCGGAGAAGAGGCGGGGCAGGAGCAGGGACTTTGGGGAAGGGGTTGGAAGGGGCGGGGCTTTTGCACCTTTGTACGAAAAGGTGTCAGTGATGTGGCCCTCGGGCCAATGTACTAGTCCTCATGTGGCCCTCATGGTGATTTAAGTTTGAGATCCCTGAAGTAGACTCTTCAGTGTACTAAGCACAAGATAATGATTCAAACCACAGTTTGATTTTGGAAAGATCTAGTCAAATCAGAACAGTTTATAAAGTATTTGGTGGCACAATTTGAAGGCCCCTTCAACAGGGCCATCTCCTCTTGCCTTCATAATCTAATGAAGGTATCAAAGCTAGCTTTTCAACAGATATCAAGAAGCTGCAATAGTACATGCACCGCACTACAGACCATTTTAATTAGATTGAATGCTTACCAGATAAAATCCTTTTATCTGTCAAAGCAAATATTTGGTACTTGAAAAAAAAAAAGAAAGGAAGACTTCTTTCAAATGGCTTCATAAACAAAATCTCAGCTTAGAAAAACCACAAAATACTCTTAAATTTTAGAAAACCCAAGATTACATGTATAAGAGTCTTAACTGTCACTTTACGTCAGAGGATTTATTCTAAGTAGTGTCAAGATACAGTGTAAGCTCAGAGCAAAGAACTACATTGAAACTAGTTGGCATCATGATTCTGGATTTCCTCAAGGCTAAGTGATAATGCAGAGCGAGCACTACTGTACTAGAAAGTGTAAGGAAATGTTGATAATGTACAATGTGGAAAGCAAAAAGTAAGTTAAAAATAAAGACCAGTCTCAATCCTGTTAAAATACACTAAACTGATCATCTTTCAGCAAGCATAAGAGAACGAAGAGGACTTATTTTTACCATTACCAGATTGCCGTACCACTGGTATGTTTACTTTTTTTAAATACAATTTATTTACTTATTCTGTGTGTCCTAGCCTGAAGGCAAGTTTCCCATGAAACTATATGATGGCTGGAGTGTTTACACACACAAAAGAAGAGGAAAAGAGAGGTTCATTCACATTTTTTTTACATTAGAAATATCTAGCCTGGAAGACACTTGTGAAATAATAGTCTCACAAGGGCCAAGAAATTGAAAGTTCAGCAACTGAAAGGTGAAGGATTTTTTAATCACTGAAATCTTGACTGTTTTTAACACTTAACTTCAATGACTAACGTTTTGGAGAAAAAGTCTTTGTTAAGGATTCAACACACAAACACCCTTTCCATTAAGGTATGACAGCTAACAATATGCATCAAGGCACGCAATGTGTTCGCTAGCAAAACTGGACTTGACATTGATGTTTCTAAGTAAAAGAAACGAAAAAATGCTTAACCCCCTTTCAAGCCTTCTTTATATATCACAAAGCAGTTAATAAAAGGAAACAAGAAGAGTCTTAAAAGACTAAACCTTTACAGGTCACTATTAAACTTTTAAAAGTTATTTAGCTTAGAAAATGTACCCTCTAGTGGCAAAAGCAGTAATCCGCAGGTTTCTGCAAACTTGAAAAGTGGGTAAAAGCAAATTGCTTGCATTTCTTCCAAGTTAACAGCAACTAAGAAAATATTTCACCCAAATTCAGAAGTAGCAACAGCAGCAGATATCAAAAGTAATGCTCTCACTTTTCAAGTGTGGGGTCAATCCCCAAGACCTTGTTAGAGATAAAAATACTGAGGCTCAGTGCATCATTAGGCTCTTATTTTAATTTCATATTTTTGTATAGAAAACTAGGTTTCAAATTTTTTTTTTAAGCTGCTAACTAGTTCATTTTGTGACCCTTTTTTCTATTAAGCTTGCAACAATTTTGAAGTGAGGAAGATTGGTATAGTGTGTGTCTGGGGTAGTGTGTGTCTGAAGAAACACAGCTACATAAGCTTGTACATAGTAAACAAACCTGCTCCAAAGCCACCTCTTAAATATTTAGTCTGGGGAAAAAATGCATACTTCTCAGCACAATGTTTACTTACATTTCATTCCATCTAGTAACTGGGACAGAGAAGTTCTGTTTTCTTTCAACAGAAGACATTCTGATAAATAGCTACAAAAAAGTAAGAAAAATGTGGAATTCTAGAGTTACTACAATAAATGATTAATTCAACACATTCTTCGTAGCTGCACCATTGTTATTAATGTAAATGACAAAGTGTCAAGTTCTGACTGTTAGAACTTTATGATGTTAGCAAGATGACTGAACAAACTTGTTTTCTATAGTAAAATATTTTTTTCCCTTGCATAAACAGCTAAATCTAACACCATTAAGAGACAGGCAGATGAGTTTAAAAATTGAACTGCTACTAAAAAAAAAAATCATGACGTTTAATGTTGCAAAATAAACTCATAAGTAAACTAAATCTTCCCAAATCTGTAGACAGGTAGCTCTGAGGCACGTCCTTTCATCATCTCACTGGGGTACTGACACAAGTCTATGTTGATGGTTGGTTTGTTTTTTTAAAGTCACTATTTCATTGCTGATCACAAAGAGAAATATTCAGCTTATCTAGCTATCCATTCTTGAAGTGTAGTGTTTATATAGACACATTTCTATTTGTGCCAATCACAATGGTATTATAGGCAGATAGCAAATAATATTGTTCCAGGGTTAATGTAGGACTTTGAAACTTAATCCGCTTATGTTTGGCAAGTTATAAAATAGCTCAGAATGAACACCACATGAACTATGATCCTTCTTTTCTCACTTTAGAACAACATTTTTGTCCCACATCAAATGACAGTTTATGCTTTAGTACCCTCTATCCTGCTCCAACGTTCAACAAAACGCTGCAAAAATAGAGACAGGCTCTAAAATACATGAAAGTAAAGGGATAGATCAGTTGTCCTGAAACTGCAATCCACGTGAGTACCATTCATATTACCAATACTCCGAATGTTACTCTTTGGTATTTAGTTTCTAACCTACAATTTGCTTCTCTTAAAACAGTCTCTGGACAGAAGTTACAGCACTTGTAAATAAATAGTATGTAAACACAGGACTCACAAAGTGAATTTAAACAGTTTGAATTAGCTTAAAATTCATGTAAAAACTATATTTTGGGAATTTACCAATGAAGCAGGAAGCAATCTAGTGTAGAGAGGGAAGACTTACAGCAGTTCCAGTGCTACTGGACTACAATAATATTTTACAATTACATAAGACCGCATCTGCAGGAATGGTGGGTAGGCATTATAACCCCATTCTACAGGTGGTATAACTAAATTGAGATTTGAAGCAATCTTCTAATTAAACACTGGTGTAAAGGGTAAATTATAGCTCTACCACAACAGTGATCTGGTGACATGCAGAGAATCAAGGCCAGGCAATGGAAGAGGCATTGCAATAGAATTCAGGACCTCCTAGCTCTGCGCAATATTCCTGTAGGCCATGAAACTGGGATATATCACGCCTATCAAATGGAAACATTCAAACATTTTTTGTGCTTCCTGAGAAAACACACCACTTTGTATTAAAAAAATACCTATGATCACGTTACTTGTCCCCTCTCATATCATTCTCTTACTCAAACTGCTTTTTGTTCAAACTTAAAACAAGAGATTCACTTTAAGACAACATTCAAACATGGGCAGTCCAAAGAGTGAAATTTTTGGAAGTTATGAGTGATCAAAGACGGGGTTATAGTGAAAGCCATTCTGCACTCTGAGCTACAGTGGTCCTGACCTGCAGCTATTACAGTAATGTAGTCACATTCAAGGTATGAAGGCTATGACATAACCCCATACTCAAGGGCACTGTGAGGCGTAGACAGAAAATTGCCACACAATTAGTACAAGTATCCAGTGTACCCAATTTTTTTAGAATATCTAGAAGTACCTGGTTTAAGAGATTTTTAATCTCCCTCTTTTCCCCCATTAAAGTTTACCCCCTGAAGTTTCAAAACCTGCTGAATCTTTAAGTTTATATGTAATGTTTGGAAACTCCCCCTTTTAACTCTCAGTTGACACACACCATGGAAATCAACAATGGGGCATTCTGCCAACTGGACTGCCACTGTCAATTTAATTGACAATTGATCAGCAAAACAATGCCAGTACTTTAAAGATTTTAAAAGGACTTAAGGTATGTCTACACTGTAATAAAATACCCACAGCTGGCCCATATCAGCTGACTCTTGCTCACATGGCTCTAAAATTTCAGTCCCAGAGCCCAGGCTCTAGACCAAGCACCTAGACAGCAATTTTGTAGCCATGCAACTGACAAAGCCAACTGCAGCTGTCTTACTGCAGTGTGGACATACCCGTAGCCACTTTTCTCTAGTCTGTTTCCATGTACATAGAGCAGAAATACTACCCAGAGGCAATGGTTAGAGCTCTTGTAAGTTTTAGCTACTGCTGGCTAAGAGAACCTTTGGTTCTCACCGAAGCCAATGAGAATCAAGAATGCTCAGACCCTTCAGGATCAGGCTGAAAGTCTGTAGTGCTTTAACTGGGCCATATGAGATACAGTTGGAGGTAGCAAAGATTCAGGGGAATATTAAAAACCAAACACCTATTTCTTATCTAGTGGAACATCCTGTTTCCAACAACAAAAGAAAAAAATAAATAGTGATACTTCACCATTTGAAACAGCCAGTTAGTCTCTGAAACAAGGCACTTATCTATTCCCTATGAGTCAAATACATAGGTATACATCTGTATAAAGATATCTAGCACCTGGAACAAACAAACAAATGAATCCAAGCAGCAAAATCAGTCATTTAAGCCAGACCTGTGCAAAAATCTACCTTTCCATATTAATTCCTGCCCTGGAAGCACTAGATAAGATAGCAGTGAGAGCTATTTGTGAAGGTGTAAATAGAAGGTAGGCATCTGTCAGAGCTACTCGATTGAGAAAGTCATCAGCTGTTTTCCTCAAGACCTCAGGATTCTCCAGCAATGGATAACGAGTCTAGAAAATAAATATTCAGGCATTACTTCTGCTGTATTTTAATCTAATTGATACATGACCTCCATGTAAAATTGTTTCTATTCTTCTGTATGAACGTTTGACATATGAATCAAAAGGACATTTTGAAAAACGAAGTCTGAGAGAGTCTTATTCTGAAAGCTACCCTGAAATGTTTAGTGACCACATATAAAAACAAAGATGTTTCAATTCAGATGTGTTCCCACTTATTACAGTATAAATCCAAGACTTTCTAGGATACATTTTACATTAGAGAATGACAAAAGATGAATGCAAGTTCGGTGTATGACGCATGAGATTTCCCCCACACACGCTAAGTTACTGTATATTGAATATTTTAATATGAAGACTGATCTGTTAACCAGAAGCATCATACAGAGCTTCCCCTCCCATTCTAGCATATTTTGACTCAGAGGTTCTCAGACTTCACTGCACCATGACCTCCTTCTGACAACAAAAGGCCTGAGCCTGCCCGAGCCCGCCGCCCTGAGCCCAAAGCCAAAGCCCCACTGCCCCGGGTGGGAGGGCCTGTAACCTGAGCCCTGCTACTCAGGGCTGAAGCCCTTGGGCTTCAGACCCGACACTGGGCAGTGGGGCTTCGGGCCCCAGCAAGTCTAATGCCAGCCTTGGCGACCCCCTTAAAATGGGGTCACGACCCACAGTTTGAGAATAGCTGTTTTAACTTATTTTAAAAAATGGACAGTAATACTATGGTCCTTCAATTCAAAAGTCTCACATTTGACCAAGTTTTTCTCCAAAAATACTAGCAGCCATATAACCTCCGCAAATTTGATCCACTACAAAATGGGGCCCCAGGCAATCCCCACTACCATATTATAAAATGAAGTTAGCAAGCCTATTTATTTTAAAGAATATTAATAAGTACCTAACTTGGTACCGAGTTTTTAGTAGTACAGTGAGGAGAAAGACAGTAATTAAATTATTACCTTCAAATCAATTAAAAATCCCTCAAATGGTCTATAAGGGTTGTGCACTATAAGATGGAAGTTCAGCTGTTGAATAAGTAGTAATTCATATTCCAAAATCTGTTCAAGAGCCTTCTCCTGACCTGGAGGGTTCTCTCGAAGGTTACCAACAAACTGTGCACTGGACACATTAAATTCATCTACTTTACATGCCAAGAATGCACATGTTAACCTTGGAAAAGAAACATAATAAACATAATTTAGTTCTGTAGCATGCATCATGCTGTTATCATACAGACCTTCTGGTTCAGAGTTTGTATTTCCCCTTTTTGAAAGCAAGAAGTGTTTTGAAGAATACAATAACCTATTCCCAAAAGGAAAGTGATGAAAACTCATTATTCAGATTCTTGTTTTATATAAAACAGGTAAAAGTCCTGACTCATGTGCTTGAGCTTTCATAAGTTACTTGATATGACAATATTGATAAACATTAAAAGTAAAATTCAAAGCGTCCCAATTACTCACATTATTATTCGAGGGTGATACTCCATCACTGAGTTATTGAGGTAAAAACGTTTGAAGTACATAGTCGCTGTTCCCTAAATATAAAGAGTCAGTAAGGCCTACTTGAGCAAAACAGCCAAATCGCACATAGGTAAAGTTCAACACACAGAATGTACACATTTAAAAAGACACAAGGTACATTTCAACACTCCATTGGGGCAAGTCTATCTAAGTTACTTATCTGCCCCCACCCCCATTCACCATAAAATCAGCACCTCGCCACCTTTAACATATTTATCCTGAATAACCCTGCAAGGCATTGTTACACCTTGCACCCTGCCCACACAAAAATAAATAAATACGGTGTGTAAGTACACACATGGAACTGAGGCACAAAGAGCTAGATCCACAAAAGGACCTAAGGGCATGGAACTACTTAACTGATAAACAATCTACTGGACAGTGGAATCCTCAGCCCCGAATAAGGTGCCTAGGCTCCCCATAAAATGCCTGGGAGAGTTAGGCACCTAAGAAACGAATCCTTACAAGCCAGCAAGCTGAGTGGTGAGCGATCTAAGCTAGTCAGTGGAAAATACAGAGGCAAAGGGCAGAAGCTAAGTCCCACCCTTCAAAGGGACATAGGCACCCAACTCTAGACTGAAAGGGGCACCTATCTCAGCTCAAGATTGATAGCCATGAACCCTCCCTTGGATTTAGGCTCTTAAGCCAGGTGAGCACTCTCTCACAAAAGACAACCTCACATACAGTGGGCCCCCATCCATTGTAGTCAATAGCCTCATGGAATGCCTGTTTTGAACAGGGATTTGAACCCAGGTCTTCCACCTCACAAGTAAGTGCCCTAACCAGCAGGCTATTTGCTAGAATGGAGTAAGCTCTCCCGTTGAAGCTGTTCCACTTGGTATAAATAAATATTACTTGGATCAGAGAAGAAAAAAAAAAACAAAAACATGCAACCAGTGGTTAGGCCACTCCCATATAATGTGGGAGAGCAGGGTTCAAGTCTCTAGTCTAAAAAATATGTTATTTATACAGGGTGGAACAACTTCTACAGGAGAAGTTAAGAGAAGCTTATCCCAGAAGACCTAAAAAAAAAACTTAGTGGTTAGGACACTCACCTGGAATGCAGAAGACCTAGGTTCAAGGTCCTACTACAAATCAGGCAAATCTCCAACATCCTGGGAGAGTGCTATAACCGCTTGGCTATTCGGACATACATACATACACCCACCCCTAAAAGTCTTGACCTTTGCTCTTTTGTGCAGATTAGGCCTGCTCTGAGAAAATTGGGCCAAACAGGTAAACCTAGGAATCAGAGAAACACCTTGTTTAAGAATCTCATCAGAACTGGGAGCAAGCTTAAGGTGGAAAGCTGATCAGTGCATCACAACAGTTCTGCACATGTATACTGACAGAAACTTTGGCATCTTGGATCATTAGACACCTAAAGGATTAGGAAGCAGCTGAACAGGAGTTCTGTCAATGTCAGAAGCCTCTAATTTTGGACTTAGGTGCCTAAATCTCCTTGTGGATCTAGACCTGAGTGACCTGCCCAGGGTCACAAAGGAAGTCTGTGGAATAACAGTGAACTGAACCCAGATCTCCCAAAGCTCAAGATACTGCCTTAACCATTGGACCATTAGTCCTTTCTATCATTTCACATCCGCATCTTGATAAAACACATTGACATGAAATCCAGTATTTTTTTTTCCTATTTACTCCATCATGTTTCTATTGCTATTCAGTTTTTCTTTAGATGTTTAGCTACAATGTTAATTTACAAGAGTTCAGATTTCTCCAAATTCAGGCAGGTGGACAACAGTCATTCTAGAAAACACAACGTCATTAATTCTAAACCAAAGCCACGTCTTCACTACCCGCCGGATAGTGATTGACCTATCGGGGAGGAGTAAGTGGAATCCACGGGGGAGCCACGGTCGACTCGCCGCTGTGAGGACGCCCAGGTAAGTCGAAAAGATACGCAATTTCAGCTACGCTATTCGTGTAGCTGAAGTTGAAATATCTTAGTTTGAAACACCCCCCAGCCCCCCGGGGAGGGAAATAGTCAGGGGGCAGAGAGCAGGGGTGTTTGGACAGGATGCGGGAGACCCAGGGGGCAGTCAGGGGTGGGGAGCGGGGAGTTGGATTGGGCTGGAGGTTCTGGTGGGGCTGGATAGGGGGCAGGGGCCAGGCCACGCCTCCCCCATCCAGCCCTCCATACAATTTCTGTACCCGATATGGCCCTGGGGCCAAAAAGTTTGCCCACCCCTGCCCTAAAATCTCTATCCCCCACTGTTTAGTTTCAGAATATTTCATCTATGAATCATGAAAAGCTTCAAGCTATAGTTTGAGAAGCAGTGCCCTGGATGTGAGAGAGGATATGCTTTAAAAAAAAAAAAAAGCTACTAGGTTTCTAGAATAAACCCTACAGGGGTTTACCTTTGTTGCATTTAGCACAAGTATGTGACATAATAAAGTGTGTCAAGCCCAGAATTAGACAGAAATTCAGATTTAGAGTTTTTTCTTTCAGTCTTGAATTCATTTCTATCATCAAATTTTGGTTTTGTAGGAGAAAACCTAACTCTTTATATGCAATAATCTAGGACTATACCAGGTGCCCTAGAGCTAGATTCATTAAAACTGGTTCAGGAAGGTGTAACTTTCCCTCTCTACTAGCAAGAGCACTTTTTCCCCAGGAGATGGTCAACCTGAGCAAGAGCAGATTAAAAACCTGCTGGAGACTCTTCTGGCCCGAACCAACTCCCAATAAAAAGCAAAAAAAACACACACAAGAACAAAAATGCGCATTGATTCTGGATTAGTCCTTCTAATACCTGTATCCATGATGCCAATCAAGACAGACCCTCAACAAGGAAAAAACCCTCCCAGAGTTGGAACAAACAAAAAAAAATCTTGCAATACACACACCTAAAATAAACCAGTGAGGGAAGTGCCAAGGGCCCCACGGGCACTCCGCCTCCTCCTCCTTTGGTGGCTGCAAGGATCAAGTCTTTTTATTCCCCACAAACCGAACCTGCGGAAAGATGGAGCAAGTGCCCCTCCCCACGGTGCTACAGATGTGGGTCTCTCAAGAAAGGGGCGGTTTGCAAAGGAAAGGCTGCGTCCCTACGTTTCTGTTCGGCAGACCGATCAACTGTACACAACTCACCACCACGGATCTGGGCATGGCAGGTTTGAACACGGAGCAGAAATCCAGCAGTTTCTTCTCATAATATTTACAGATTGTCAGCTCCTCCCGGGGCTCCAGAAGCAGCGAGTCGCTCTGCCGAGCCTACGGGACAACACGGGCAGCTTCACCGCGGGCCGGGACCCTGCCGCTGCTCCGGGCGCCGCCCGCAGCAGCAGAGACTGCCGCCTCCCACCGGGGCCGCCGCAGGAGGGGCGGCGGGATCCAGGGGACACTCCCGGGCCTCGCCCATACCCGCTGCTTGGCGCGGCTGTTGCCCGCACCCTGCCCCCTTCGCAGCCTGGGGGGAGCCGCGCCGAGCACCCGGACTCGCCGACAGCTGCAGCCACAGGGCTCCCCCGCGCCCGGCTCCCCTGCGACAGTGCCCCCGAGACCGACCCCTCCATCCCGAGCCCGGATGCTGGCTCTGGCTGTGCAGGGAGGCGGCGGGGCCGTCGGTACCTTTCCGCAGGCCACCGCTTTGCAGCGGAACTGGCGGTTGGCGTCGGCTCGGCAGCGGCCCAGGTCCTCCTCACTGCGGAAGGTCCAGTGCCGCCTCTGCGTGCTGCTGTGGTACATCCCGGCCGCGGGCAGCCGACCACCGCTCGCCAACCGGCACCCGGAGCGCGTGCCCAGCTCCCAGAGAGCGCGCACGCCACTAACCCCCACAGCCGCTCCAGGGAGACTCTTTCAAGCCAAGCCCCGCCCCTAGCGCGTAACCCAAATCCGACATATCCCAGCATTTCTCGCGCCACTACGGGTCCCAGCGTGTACTGTGGTTGGGTGAAGTCTTCTCCCAGCGAACTCTGCAGTCCCAGTTTGCACTGCGGCCCCAGGAAAACTACCATTCCCGGGAGGTGCAGCGACATAGCTAGTGGTAGTTCCCAGCGTTCCGTGCTCTAACTGGAGGCAAGCGGCCCCTCCCAGCCGGCAGTGAGCGAACACTGCATGCTGGGAGTTGTAGTCTCTACAGTTTAGAGGTAAAGATAAACACTATCTGGCTTTGAAGTGCGAGTGTGGTCGCGCGCGAGCAGTCCACCTCCGCTAGCGGATTAGCTGCGAGCGCGGCTGCCGGCGCTGGGAGCCTGTCCACACTAGCGCTTTAAAGCGCTCTGACTTGATGTGCTCAGGGGGGTGATTTTTCACACCCCTGAGCCAGCAAGTTAGAGTGCTATAAAATGTAAGTGTAGCCAAGCCCTTATAAGGCCCTGCAGTCAGAGCCGCTCTTGGTGTGGCACCCTTTCCCTGTCTTCATGACCCAAACAGGAGTTTGGGGGGGGGGGTGTTCAGAGCTGGAGGTTGGGGTGCAGAGTGGTGCTGTAATGGGGATAAGAGAGGTGGTGAAATAAAAGGGAGAAAGGGGGAACAGTAGAGATAGGTCTTTTTCACAAGCACCCAGGGTCTGTCACTTGTGAAGTGTCTATCCGATCCACTCCCACCTATGTATGTGTGTATGCAGGGAAAGAAGAGGAGAGAAACAAAGCTCTTAGAAAACACAACCAGTTTATTTGGGAATAGCAACAAAGATAGGAAAAAAGGGGAAAACTATTAACCATAAACAGATAACAAATGGTTGTGGTTGCCCCTATGGGTATTAATTCCGGGCCCCAAATACCCCTCTCATGGTAACAAAGTAAAATAAAGGAAACCAAAATACCCCAGTACTTCCCTCACAGCTGCAGCCTCACATGCAGCAGGTCAATGGCTTTACGATGGAGGCCCAAAATACGCAAATGATCAGTTTCCAATGCAAAATGTCTTCCCACTAAGTAGATTTTGAAGCATACCATAGCAAAAACTGTTGCCAAGAATACTAGCTCAATCTCTGAATATTTTGCTTCCGTCAGGGTGATAGTACGGGATGCAAATATAACTGGTCATCCCTCTTGGAGCGGAATTGCACCTAGGCCCCAATTGCATGCTTCAGTCTGAATCACCATGGGCTTTATTGGATCAAAATAAGCATGAGATTGCATTGGAGAGAAGGCTTGATGTAGGGTTTCAAAACCCTGCTTTACCTCTTTAGTCCAAACCAATTGTCCCTGGCCCTGGGTTACATCTCACAGTGGTTTGGCAAGGGTACTAAAATGGGGCAGAGCACAGCCACCTATGTATTGAGCTAGACGAAGGAACAAATGTGAACTCCTATGGTCAGTGGGTAATGGTAGCGAAGCAACGTTTTGTAGCTATTCAGGGGTTGGTTACATTTAATCCACCAACAGAGAATGCCCTAGAAACTCTACAGCATCTTTTGAAAAACTGCACTTGGCCACATTCAACTTTATGCCAGCTTATTGGAGTCGTGTTAGCACCTGATCCAGAATAGCATTATGCTCAGGAAACATTTTAGCAAAGATGAGATTGTCATCCAAATAATAACATGTACTCTGGATATTATCAAGTTGCTGAGATATATCAGGAGCAGAAACTAAACCAAAAGGGAGTCGTTGATAGCAGTGTCTCCCAAACAACATGCTGAAAGTCAGTAACAACTGCGAACTTTCAGCCACAGGTATTTGCAAATAATCAGACCAGTAATCCAACACAGAGAAAATCCAGGATCCACGTATCTGGCATCTCACCTCTTTGAAAGCAGGCAATTGAAACTGTTTATTATTTATTAAGTGCCCTAAAATCTGTGCACAGTCGAATGTCCCCATTCTTTTTGTATACAATCACTGTGGATGAGCTCCAATCCGCAGGCCCCTCCCCCTCCTGAATGATACCATTATCTTTCATGTGCTGCAGTTCTGCTCAGATCTTGTCCACAAGTGCAGGAGGTCCATGACGTGCAGGCGGTGCAAAGTGTTTGGAAGTTGAATCCCACTGCAGAGAGTATGCATATCTGGTGGACAGACCATTGTCACTTAAAATAAATCTTGACAGGTTTCAGAGTAATAGCCGTGTTAGTTATACTAATTGTTAGAGGGCTTATTCCTTCACACTCTCACTTCCCTGGTCCTTCTCGCACGAACAGAGAGCAACAATACCCAAAGTCCAAAGGTGCAAACAATTCGATGTTTATTGGGGTGAACTTCCAGCACGTTTAAATCCAAGTTCTTTTTTCCTTATTTTCGAATCCCAACTTACTTCCTGTTTTCCCCTAATTTATATAGTAATATTCTCAGCTATACCTTAGCCAATCATTTTACTGAAATTTACCTAACCAATCCTAACATATTGTAACACGATTAGCTAACCAATTATATCCCACCACCTTCATTAGTTTACACCCAGCAAAATTAATTATACAGCAGACAGAAACAATCACTGAACCAGACAGAGACCATGAAAATAAACAAGAGCAAAGTGGGAACTATAATGACAAAACAATATAGAAGTGAGGATTTCACAACTATGTCTATAAAGACATCAGGGTTTCCCAACTTTGTCTATTGATAAATGAGTTCTTACCAAACAGAAAACTATCAAACTAAATTTCCTTTTACATCTTCTAGGCTCTTTCCTTTATCTGGAGATGATAGATTGGATCACCTTCCTAACAGCCCCAGATTATTTCAATACGGCTGCTTTGAAATGTGTGAGGACGTGACCATACTTTCCAGCTTATGGCTGCTCTCACTGCTTAGGCAAAGTCCTTAGCTTAAGAACAGGGCCTCAGACTGTCACAGTGAGAGAAGCCCCTTACACAGGTCAACAGTGATTTTGATTCTTTCTTTTATACCTCTATAACTAGCTAAATAATAAACATATACCTAAATTCTTAAAGTATAGGCCTTTACAGACAGGGCCTGAATATCTATATCCTGACACCAATCATAAAAATATCCCTGAGCACAATCATGATAACATTCCCAAATTCACAGTCCTGGGCCGACCACCACAAACAACACGGAAACTCAGATATGGTTTTATTGTGCTGCTGGCGAGCTTCAAAAAATGTTTTCCTCTTTAGTGGAACAGTCCAGCTGAGGTGCTGCACAGCCACATCAAAGGAGGATTTGGGCTCCGGGAGTCCATCATAAATATCATTGCCATCATGGCCTAAGCAGTTCTGCAACAAGGGTAGCCTTGCAGCATCAGACAGTAGCAGGATCTGCACTTAGTTCCAAAAATTCCAAATAAAGTATCACCACTCAACAGCCAAAGAATGAGTAGGCAGCATGGTCTGCAGAAGCACTTATCACCATAAAGTTATGTTCTGATGCACCCCAGAACAGCAATCCTAACATACAAGGAAATTGACACAAAACATGCAGGTAAGTGGTCAATCAAAACATGTAATAACCATGAACCAATTAAGTCAGCAACAGTCTGAACAAAATAAACAACGGTCCAAATGACAGTTATGTAGCAGCAAGTCCTGAGTAACCACACACAGCTAGTACTATGTACTACTCCTGGGGGAATTCTGCGCCACTGCACAATGCAGAATTTTGCAGAAATTAACGTGCACACAGAGTTTCCTTTCCCCCACAGAAATGGGCTGCAGTGCTACTAGCCACCACTAGGGGTCACTGGACTCAACAGAGCCCAGCTTGTACATAGAGGACACTACTGCGGGGAGGGAGAGGGAGTTAGAGAGTTCCTGGCAGTTGCAGTTCCCAGAATGCCCTGAGGGAAGGAGACAGCTATGCATAGGAAACTCTGTGCAAGCCTGGGACCGAGCATCAGGCTGTTTCTCCCTCTGGATCCCTGGGTTCTGGTGGGGAGGGGGATGGGTGTCTGGGCATCGGGGGGTTGCAGCTGGGCTCTGGTGCGTGTGTATGGGTATCTGGGCTGGGGGCAGGTATGGTTGGGCTCTGGAGAGGAAGATGCTCAGGTGTATTGGCTGGTGTGGGTCCCGCAGGTGGGCCCTGGGGGAGAGGGGCTGTGGGTGTCTGGTGCCCCAACTGGGTTCGGGGTGGGGAAATGGGGCAGAGAAACAGGAACTGGGTTGTCATAGGGGTTTCTTTAACTTTCTACTCCCCGGGGAATTTTTGTGTGTGCCTGTATTGTTATAGACATACTTGCTGACAGGTATTTTGAAATAAATTACAAAAATAATTTAAACTAGTATGAATATGTAGTGTTATTTTGACATAAAATTTTCAGAATTAAAAAAAATTGTGTGCAGATTTTTAATTTTTTTGGCGCAGAATGCCCCCAGGAGTAATATACACACCAGTCATCACATAGGAAGAAAAAAGATGATAGAACACACATGGGAAAGTAACACAACTCTAGCCTATTTAAAATATTAATTTTTGAAAGAGAGTTAAAGAAAAGGGGAGATTTGGGGAAAGAATAGACTAAAAACAGAAAGTGCTACATACAAGAAGAGAAATAGATTAGAGGGCCAGATTCTGATACCCTTTTTTGTATTAGGTAGCAACCTACTCCCTGAGTAGTCAGAGTTCAGAGGGACTTCTTACCAAATAAAGTTCTATTTTATATGAGTAAAGGAAAAGAATCTGGTCTAGTGAAAGCAAATGGAAGAAGAACAGAAAAGAAAACACAAGACAAGAAAAGGCAAAAAATACAGACTCTTTAATAAGTGAATTGTGTTTTAATGTATACTTGTTACCAATGGAACATTAGTGTTTGTTTTTAGGCATATGACAGATTAGCAGGGCATGTGTTTTGAAAAATAGTGTGTGACGTGATTTTTTTTCTGGATTTCATGGAATTAAGTTATAGGAAACTTCTCTAAATCCATGTCAGAGGGTGGACTAGGTCTTTTAAGGGTATAT